TCAGACAGTTCTGTTATCACAATCTAAAGAAATACTTTTGCTTACTTAATTAGGGCCACTCCTTGATCAGAGAACAGTATAAAGAAATAAAATGCATGTGACATACATTATAAAGTGTTTGCCTATACAACTTCTGTGGGTTGTGTCATTCAAGAAGTGTCCAGTTAAGAGTTAAATATATATTAAAATATCAGTGATTAATGAATTAAGTAAATGCATACATGTTTTCCCTTTTTTTGTGAATTTATTTTGACCTGGGTCGTGGGTGTTTTGTACCAGAAGACTGATTGTTGATCAGTGAGCTAATGTGAGCTTTTGTTAATTGTCTTCTGGAAGATTTTTCTGAAAGGGTGTCGTTTAGGCTTTTGATGGTGTTTTCACTAGGAGAAAAGTATGTAGTCTTATTATTCTAAACCCCTGGGTTTTCCTAACCTTCCACATTCCGTTTACACTGTTTGAAGGTAGGTTTCAAGCCTCTCAAGTGTTAGTTTCACTGCTTGAAGACCTTGCTGCGGCCCCTCTGTGCACATGACTGGCTTGTGTTAAATGCTTGGAAGAGCATTGCTTTGCACTTCTAGATGGGTTACATCCCCATAACTAATTATCAATAACATTCTGTGCTGTAAGGTTCAGAAGGGCTTTGGGGGGACAGAGGTAAGCGTTACTAGGCAGTGTCCCAGCTGTGCGATGAGAGTAAACCCTTTTTCGTGGAACTTTAATTTATTTCAGAATTTGATGCCACATCAGGGTCATAATCGGACAGCCTCCTATGCTGGCATTTTGATTTAAAAACCAGCGCATCATTGCACAGTGATCTATGAAGGAGCATGATTCATTAATTGCGTGTAATTTTAAATGTCCAACAAAAAGCTTAGGCAAGACTTTGAGGTGCAGGCTTCTAAATGATTTTAGGTTTCCCATGTTAAATTTTTTTTAATGAAGAGATTTAAAAACTGATTACTACATCCCCTTATAATTATTTAATTATATGATTGTCGTTTTCCTGTCACTAGAGTGGCTAACATGCCAGTCAGTCAAGATGAAGTAATTCATACATTCATTCATGCATTTGTACATCCGTCTGTCTATCATCTGTTTATCTACCTATTTATGTATTGTCTCTTTGTATTTATTTTATATTAGGCTCAGAGTCTGTGAAGGATACAGAAGAAATATTAAGATGCTTTTCTGTCTTTAGGAATTCGTGGTATATTTGCCCAAATAAATATGCCACCAAATATTAAATTGAAAAAAAAATAATGCATGCTGGCTTCCTTTTCTTTGATGACTTTCTGGTTGTTGATTTTCTTCCTAACTTTTGATGAGGCTCCCATGTGGAAAGGTTTTCCACACACTGAAATGTATATTCTAGCATGAGCATGTGATCACAGGTAGTGCTCTTAACCAAACCGTTATAGACATATTTCTGATCGTGCCTGGGTCCGTGATGCAGTTCTGCTCTACTCCACTCCTTCCTGTGGCTGGGTTGGAGAGGGCACTACCTGACCTGACGTGAGGGGCCAAAGTGGCTTCCTGCTTTGGTATCCGGATTTCCTGAGGTTGTGGAATGCTCTCCGGAAACTTAGGAAACGATTTCTGGATCTTCACGCCCTTCTGTCTTCCTATGCGTCTTGCGTATGGAAGGAAGCAGACTGGTCCGGCTGCTTCGGGAAGCTGCGGTTTGCCGTCGCCTGGTGATTCGAGGTGTGGGTCATTGATAATGTCGGTTAGGAACTTACACGGCAAGCTTGAGGCCAGATCTCCATGACCGTGCAGCACCGAGACATGCCGTGTTCGCTGTGTCATTGAGCGTCTTGAGAAAGGTGACTATCACATCACGTGCTTAAAACTGGTGATTTCTAGTATTTCTCTTTAGATGTCTTAAAATGCTTTTCAGGACTCAAAAATAGAACAGTTCCATCCGAAAGACTAGGACTATGTTGTTCCAGAGATGACACCAAAGAACTTTTTCTTTTTCACTGACCATTCCTGTTTGAAGCATTCCAAGCTAAGACTGTGAGGAGCTTGCCATTTTCATGCGCAGTGTTTCCCAACCTGTTCCAATTCTCCGTCAGGGTCTGCTCTGCACTCTGGGATGGGGGTGCTGATGAAATGCAGAAGAATCGATGGTCTCGGAGTTTTTGTTTAGTGGTTAACCCTAATTCTGGGTGTGCAGAGACCATGCTCTGTGGGTGAACCTCATTTGGCATTGTCATTAGGCTCAGATAACCCCAGAGACCACTGGCTTTCCAGGTGTGGAGGATACACATTGCTGAAGCTGTGCAGGAGGCTCTGTTTTCATCCTTCCCACGTCTCAAATATGATCCTGGTAGTGTCATGTTAGACATCACAGGTTTCCTGAGAAAGCACAGTTCAGCTCGTCTGCCCTGTAATCTTATGTAAGTGATGGCTTCCTGCCATGCTGATTGACAGTGAGGGGCAGAAGGTTTTCCCATGTGTCGTTCTAGTTAAGGTAGGTCTGCAGATGCTTGAAGAACAGTCACTCAGATGCGGGCCCCTGGCTTTGGTTCTTGATGGATGACACAGAGTGCTTATCAGGAGTGAACTCCAAATTAATAAAAGCAATCTGAGTATTCAAAGAATTTCTGTTAAAAATGCTGTCATGCTCGTTTAGAACTAGAGAAACTTCAGAAGAGTGAAGCTTATAAAGGAAGACTGAAGATGAGAAGGGAAATAAAACTATAGTGTTTGTTTTCATTTCGTTAATTCAGGTTCATTACCTGAAATATACATTTTCAATTTTTGCAGTAAGTTGCTTTAATATTCATGACAAAGTAATGCCATGGACACTTACCCCGCACCTCGTGGCCACCTCTGATGTCTGTTTCTCTGTTTGTAAGTTCACACTCATTTGTTGGGTAATAGAGGCTGTCACATTGTACTAACTACAATTAGATTGCTTCCATTTTCTTCAGGAAGAAAAGAGGATTGCCAAATTAATATAGATAATTGTGTCGACAACCGTATAATGGGAGACTATTAAAAAAAAAACTAAAGGCCCTCTGTATTTTAAATTTTATGCTTATCTAATTACAAAAGAACCCCCCCCCCTTTTTTTTTTGTAGAAACCTGGAAACTTATAGAAGTATAAAGAAGAAAACTAAAGTCACATTGATTTTTTTATATAGAGATTACACTATTTTGATTTGTTGCTTACAGTTTTAATGTATGTGTGTACAATGACATAGAAATGCATATGCCGATTTAAGTGCCTACTTTAAAATTAACATAATACGTAGTTTTGTATCCTCCATTTTAAACTTGATATCATATTACCATTAATGAGTTACAATAGTTTCCACTTTTTTTCCAGTTTTATTGGGAAATAATTGACATACATCTTTATAAGTTTAAGGTGCACAGCATGCTGGTTTGATTTGCAGGTATTGTGAAATGATTACCACAATTTATTGGTTAAGCTAACATCTGTATCTTCTCATATAGATAAAATAAAAATGAAGAAAGGAAAAAGTTTTATCCTTGTGATGAGCACTGGATTGGCTCTCTTAAATTTTCTGTGTATCGTGCAACAGTGTTAACTACAGTCACCACGTTGTAAATTGCAGCCCTAGCGCTTCTTTACCTTGTAACGGGAAGTCTGTAGCTCTTGCCTACCTTCCTCCAATGTCCCTCTCCCCACTTTCACCTCTGGTAGTCGCAAAAGCCTGATTTCCTTTTCCATCACTTTGTTTTCACTTCCCCATGAGATTGTATATTATGTGTCTTTCTCTGATGACTTACTTCACTTAGCATAGTGCCTTCAAGGCCCACCCATGTTGCACAAATGGAAGGATTTCTGCATTTTTTAAAGACTAGATAACATTCCCTTGCATGTGTACCTCACACTACTTTCTCCGTGTATCCACCGATGGACACCTAGGTGCTTCTCATGTCTTGGCTCTTACAAAGAATGCTGCTCTGAACATGGGGCGCGGATATCTTTTTGAGTTAATGTTTTCAATACCTTTGGATATTTTCCCAGAAGTGGAATTGCTTAATAGTTTCCACTTTTTTTTTACTTTAAAAACAACCAGTGTGATAAATGTGTATATACATAAATCTTCCTAGGATACATAATTTCAGCAATTTTATTTTTGAATTCTCACCCAAGGATATTTTTCCATCTATTTTTAGACAGAGTGGGAGGGAGAGAGAGAAAAACATCAGTATGAGAGAGACATATCGATTGGCTGCCTCCCGCAAGACCCCAACCAGGGCTGGGGACAAACTGTAAACGAGGTACGTTATCTTGACTGGAATTGAACCCACGACTCTTTGGTCCTCGGGCTGATGCTCTAACCGCTGAGCCCAATTGGCCAGGACAATTTCAGCAGTTTTAAGGCTTTACATATATGTTGTCAACATGCTTCTTTAAAGTATGAACTAATTTTTATTATTAATTTATAATTCTTATTTTACTTAAACTACACTAAAATTTATGAAAATAAACAAAATACTTTCTACTTAATAGGAGAAATATTACTTTGCCATTAGTTTTTATTTCCTGATGACATTTTTATGAAAGTGTTTTTTGAAAATTTTAGAAATAAACTTTATTAGATTGAAAGAATGAATAATTAGTAAGTTTGTCTAATTGTAAAAAAATAGCAGATAAAAGGATATGATAGCTAGCAATGTCTGTAAAAATGTCTGTATTTTGAGGGGAGTTTTACCCATGTGAAAAGGGGAGAAACAATTTAATTGAATCTGACCAGCTGGTACATGATTATAATACTTTTTTTTTAAGAACTGGGGAATCAATGTATTGAAGATTCAAAGATTATTATTTTAATGCAAGAATTATGGAAACACTTGAATTGTTTTCATTTAAGGTGAAATTAACTATTTTGCTTAAAAACACAACAACAAGAAACACCTCACCTGTGGCATATAAAAAGGTAAAACTCCATGTAGCAATCCCAGGGAACGCTGACAGTAAAACCTAACATCTGCATTCGCTCTTTGCTCCTCCCTCTTAGGACATCCAGGCGGAAATTGATGCCCACAATGACATATTTAAAAGTATCGATGGGAACAGGCAGAAGATGGTAAAAGCACTGGGAAACTCTGAAGAGGCCACTATGCTTCAGCATCGACTCGATGATATGAACCAAAGATGGAACGACTTAAAAGCAAAATCTGCCAGCATCAGGTCGGAATAGTCACTCAAAATAAAACCAAGAGGGGAGGGGGTCTTATGATTCTTATATGTCAGCCAGAGAACAAGAAGCCTTACTACCATGCTACTTCCTCACCCTAAGATTTAAATGCAAAAACTGTTTTTCCAAAGTTACATATAGTTTTAGCTCCATTAATGTCCAGTGCCCCTTGCAAATTCACAAATTTGCATGTGTTCAACCTAATAATAATAATTTTCCCAACACCTGATAATTTTTGTTTACCTTGACCAAGTACTACGTTAGGATGCTTGCCAACGTTATTTAGTACTCAAGAGATTCTAGTAAGGTGAATAGTAAAATTCTTTCTTAACGTAAGGAAACAGGCTTAATGAATGTGAAGAACTTACCAAGAATCTGAGCTAACTAGTGCCAGGATTTGAATCTAGATCTTTTGGACCCTTGGCAATGAACATGTTTTGCCTCATCATGCTACCTGTATATCCAATTTGAAGATGTTTAATAGACATTAAATATTGTTTATGGACTATAACGTGGAAAACTGATGAATCATGTCAGCATTTGGAGAGAGCAAGATTAAATAGGGATGAATCTTGAGGACCAGAATGCTGACTAGGAAAAGACCTTGAAAAAGTATCTACTGTGACAATTATTAATGCTATTGGGTGTCAAGAATATTTTAGAATTATATTTAATAGTTGGTGAGTCTAAGTTTAGAGGAAACTGTGATCATATTACTGAGCAAAGATCCAAAAGAAAATGTTGGACCTTGCACCTGGGTCAGTTTCTCGCTAAGGTCAGAAAGTGTATGATGTATTGAGAAATGTACAACAGTAAACCACATGACCTTGAATTTGACTTTTTAACTTCATTTCCTGATCTTGGGCAAGTCACTTAGTCTCTCTGAGCCTTCGTTTTTTCATTTACAAAATCAAAATATTTAATTTATATGATTTCTGGAAAATTGAATAGGATAATCAGATAGTTCCTTAAAGCCTGTTCAATGTAGCATGTTGTTTATTTTATATTTTTTACATAAAGGGGCTCAGTGGATTTGCCTCAGCTTGTTTCTGGTTCTTGTAGAACTAGTTTACAGGGAGCAGAAATCTTCAATGATTATTACTGTTATTATAAAAAAAAATTTTTTTAAGAGATGTCCTAAAGGTTTTTATTCTTCTGGGGCTCATCGAGGGAGAGTTGCACCTCCCCGTACACTTGAAAAAGGGGGTAATGCAGCATGACTATGAAAGCCTCTGAGTGAAGATCTCACTGAAAATCAAGGCAGTATCAGCCCACTATTTGTTTTGTAAGAGGGAAATTATAGCATATTATATATTAAGAGAATATACTTATGCTTGATGAAGGCTGAGTTTTCAACTGACCAGATCCTATTTGGATGCACCTTCCTGTTTTTCAGAAATATGAATTAGTTAAAATATTAACACAGTGACAAACATTCACCGAGATTCTAGCAAAACCGACATCTAGTCTAATGAGCTAAAAGTTATGGGGCTGGCCCTGGTGACACTGTGCACGTGGTGCTGGAATTCTGAGGGTCTGGGAGTCTTTAGGAAGAAGAATGTACTGAAGGCTACATCTGTGTAAACAGATCAAATGGAAAAGTACAGACCAAAAATATGTGTGTATATATATATAGGCATTTCATGGATATTATTGCCTAAGCCTATCAATTCACATTTTTTCTAACCCAGAAAAACATAGGTCATAAATTTCAGTTGGAATATTATCTTATACATCACTTAATGTTATTTTTAGAAGATGGAGAATAAGCTTTTGCCAGTGGACTTCTGCATCATGATAGATCATGTATTATAGTAAAATGTTTTATTAATGTGATGATGAATTAATAGAAGTTTTAGGTTTATTACCCACCCTTGGAGATTCAGGAATTTATTCAAGCATTTAATAACAACTTACTTCTGCCCTGGCCGGTTTGACTCAGTGGTTAGGACGTTGGCCCACAGATAAAAGAGTCATGGGTTCGATCCTAGTCAAGGGCATGTACCTTGGTTGCAATTAGTCCCCAGCTCTGGTCAGGGTTGTGCGGGAGGCAACATCTCACGTTGATGTTTCTCTCTCTCTCCTTCTCTTGCACTCTCTGTCCCTCCCGTCCAGTATCTGAAGATAAATAGAAAAATATCCTTGGGTGAGGATTAAAAAAAATAAAGAACTTACTTATATATTTAAGACATTGCTAATCATACGTAAGATATGGTCCCTGGCCCTGGGGCTTCGTAGTTCTGTGCAGGTGGAGATGGACCCAGAGGAGGGGGAGTTCCTTTCATTTCAGATAGTCATCACAGGCTCGTGAAGAGGCGGTTTATAAGTTGAGCCTTGAAAGAGGTGTAGTTACTCCTCAGATAGCTGGGCGAGGGCTTCGAAGCAGGAAGCTTGAAATAACGCTGTTTTCATGGAACTGTCAGGAAGTTCAGTCTGGCTAAGAGTGGCGTTTGCCGTTGGTGCAGAGGGGAAAGATTGTGCTAGAGAAAAAGGTAGAGAGAGAGGCGAGACAAAAATCATGGGGCACTCTGTGCACCGTGCTCCGTTGGCAGTGGCGTGTGGATGCTTTTAGGTGACATCATTAGATTTGAATTTGTCACGGTCCCTCCCACACAATTACGAGGATGCATTAGATAAGCAGTTCTGAAGACAGGGAGATGTGTTAAGAGACCTTTTCAGTATCTAGGAGAGAAAAGAGATTGAATAGATACTTAATTCATGTTGTTGGGGCCCTGGCAAGACATTTAGAAACAACCAGTAGCCAATGGACTGGGGTCTCTTCAAAAGAGAGCATCGGGCCACATCGGTGGGGGTGGGGAGCATCCAGACAGCGGGGCAGGCAAGCATTGTGAGTGGGCAAGAGGGTCCACAACAGGAGAGGACGAAGGGCAGTGCAGAATCCCCGGAGGCCCTGATGCTCGGGAGGAGGGGGAAAAGGAGCCGGCAAAGAGCCTGGGAGTGGCTGTCCTTGGGGGGGAGAGAACCTGGAGAGTGTTGTGAAGAGCCTCCAGGAGGGGTTTCCCACACGGAGGGCTCAGTTAACAGTTCTGGCTGTTTGAGGAAGTCGAGTAAGACCAGGGCTGCAGAGCCAGCTGCAATTAGAAGCGCTTTGATGACTTTTTTGCCAGGGTCATGTTGATTGAGGCAAAAATCTGATCGCAGGGGACGAAAGAGTCGGAATGGAAAGAGAGGCTCTGGAGGTGGAATGGGTCTACACAGTCTCATTTTCTTAAGTAACTGCTCTGAAGGGAAGGGGAGCGAGAAGACACTTTGCTCTCACTGTATTATTACCCGTAACAGTATCGTTGTTTTTAACAGCTGGCCGGCCACACCTGTACATTAACCTCGCTCTGCTTTCATGTGGATTAGATATGTTCAAAGTAAGGAGTGCTACAGTCTTCATTTTTATCTTCAAAAAATGGACAAAATAAATTTTATCAACATATCCATCATTACTTAGACATTTATAAAAGATAAAACGATCTGTGATTCTCATGAGTAGGCCCTCCCGTAGGAAGCACACCTCAGAGAGAAGTCTTAGAGAACAGTGTCTGTCATGTTATACGCCGGAGCTAGGCTGCCTGGGTTAAACACTGGCTTCGCCACTCAGCAGCTGTGGCACCATGGCAGGTTACTCAGCCTGTCATTAATCTCATTGATTACCATTCTGTTTGGCACTGATCAGTTCAAAGGACATAGAAATTCTCTCTGTTCCATCTTTTTCTTTAAAATTTTTTTCTTTCTTGATTTTCGAGAGAGAGGGAGGGAGAGAGAGATAGAAACATTGATGAGAGAGAACATCAGCTGGCCACCTCCTGCATGCCCCCCACGGGGGATCGGGCCCACAGCGTGGGCATGTGCCCTGACTGGGAATCGAACCGGCAACCTCTTGGTGCATGAGTCAATGCTCAACCACTGAGCCACGCCAGCCAGGCCTACCCCATCTTTTTTCTATCTTTATTTACTAATAGTGGGAATTTCTGAGAAGATCCCCGGCAAGGCTGGGTCATGAATAAGTATGAACCAAAACTATGGCCAAGAGAGAATAACAGTGCCATGTGAGTTACTGAGGTTGGAAGAGAGAGCTTAGAGTAAGAACTCAGTGGGGCTGTTCACCGCAACCCAGAATGAGGCAGAAATTACCAGCAGTCCTTGGTCGGGGTGGCCACCGGGGTTTGATGCTCTAAATGGAAGAATAGAAAGAGCTCTGTGTCTGCAGACCTGTTACCAAGAAATAAGGGTGGGCTGAGCCAAGCACATCTAGTATTCCCCAGATTTATGGACCGGATTCCTTACTCCACCTCTGCAGGTACTGAGAGAGCAAAGGGGCGGAGAGAGGCCAGGGTGTGCTTGGGGAGAAAACCCTACCCAAGGCGGGAAGTGTTCCCCCAGCCGCCTGCCTCCTTCAGTCCTTCCTGAAGAGGACCTGCGGAGCTCTGAATTTCTGCGTCTCTGTCCTGTGCTCTCGCTCCCGTAACGCACAGCCTACCCTACACACGGGCTTATCTAGCACAAAGTGTCCTGTGTCTTCAATATTTCTGTAAGCTCTCCCACCGCTTTTCTTTATCATTGAAAGCTGGCTCTCCCCTTAATTGCCTGCTTTACTTAAATTTAATTAAATTTAAGTTTAATTTGCCCATTTTCCTCACCTGGCAGCCAGTGGGAATAATCTGCATATTTACAACTGGTTTGGACACCAAACCATCAGAATGCCAGTGATCAACTTCCAGTATGGCACCCGCAGACCACTGGCTGGACAGGAGCCCCGCCACGCAGCTGGTGACAGGGGAGGCTAGCAGCCTCTTCGCCGTTTCCAAAGCGTCGCTTCTCCATCTGTCAGCTTCTCCCTGGAAGTGAGCGCCTCCATTCATCTACCCTCTCACCATCTAATTCCAGCTTCCTCCTGGTCCTCTGCTCTCCTCGTTGATTTGAGCATCTGACTTTTCATTTTCCATCTTTTCTTCAGTTGTCATTCTTGGTGTCCGTATTGAAA